AACCCGGAGTTAGCACAGCACTAATATTTTGTCACTTGGTTTTGCATATACAGGCAAGGCCGTCATTAATAATACTCCTAACCTCGGCCAACCTTGGTATCGCAGCATTGTTTATTAACATGTAATGTTTGTTATGGACAGTTTATAGTGTGCTTATATAATTTATCTCAATTCACAGTTTATACAGACAGTATAAAACTAAAGAGATTTAAGAGAACAATAATATTCATTAATTCATACATCTGTGATGGTTTAACCATTGCTTACAATTACAGCAGCTGGCATGCAATTTGGGCAGGCATTTTTTAATTTTGTTGTAACTTGTAAATGAATACAGATCTATTGCTGCAAACAAAGGCCGGATAATGTGCAAATCATACAATTTGAAATTTTTGAACAGCAACTGCCAAATATACATATTTAGAACGCAAATATACTAAAAATGCAATTGCACTGAACAAACCTTAAGGTGGCTCGATACAGTTTTCAAAAAGTAAGGTGTTCAACACTTTGCCATGTTCAAACTACGCATTTTTATGATTTATTCAGCAGATATTGTGTTTTTTATATATTTTGATATCTCTACTTTCAAATTTTATTATTTTTAGTAACAGATAGATCGTTGCTATGACGACATACGCGTACGAAATTCACTCCAAAATGGCCTATCGTCTCGTTTTGTTGGAAAAGAAGCATGGTGACCCCCAATTTTTTTTCTTGCATTATTTTACTTGGACGAAAAGCTAAAAATTAGCAAAATATAAAAAAATTCTGTAATGCCATTTTTTTGGAAAATGCAAAAATGTCGTTTTCTTCGATAAAATTTTTTTGGCATTACAGAATTTCTTTCTTTTTTGTAAAATGAAAGTTTTTAGCGGTGCAATAAAGCGTGCAAAATTTGAACATAGGTCACCAGACAAAATAAAGAGATATAGCGCATTGTTTTTCTAAAATGGAAAATTCTAATGACGTCAGCAATTGACATAAAACACTACAGAACACGCGCAATGACGTGATATGGCGCGAGCAACTGCTCACGTCAGGTCATTTTGGAAGTTCTTTTCATTTTGTTTATCAGTTTCCGCGACCTGCGCGTAAAAATGATCACTCGGTTTTGAGTTCGCGATTCTTGAGCAGGGTTTTTGTGATTACTATATCGAGCCACCTTAAGTGCTTCATAGTTATTATTCTGTAATACTTTACTTCAAAATATGTTAACAGCAGTAGAATTTAGATTTTATCCGCTGCGATTTGCGCGCAACTGTCGCAAGCAACGAATTATTTAGAGCACGTGAGTTTTAAATTTCTAATTCTATAAATATTCAACAAAAAATTACCTTCCAGTATCTGTTCGCATTCTTTGTCCACACTAGCAGTTTGTTTAAGTAACGATGAAGTTTGTAGATCCATATAAACTTTCAAGTGGAAAAATTTAATAAAATTCAGCGAGCAAGTGAACACACAGCCGTTTTTGAAGTGACTTCGAAGCAGATTTCGAAAGGACGCGCATATTAATCCCAGAATCCAATACGCGCTCTTTCGTGGGGACCGCGCGACATGTCGCGCATATGACGTCATGATATATTTTAA